TTGTACAGATTAATGTCTTTCATGAATAAATGCTGCATTCTGTTTTCTTGCTTCAAGTTAATAAGAATGCATTCACTATTTATAGTTCTTACTTAATTTCAACAAATTCTTGATATTACTAACATTTTAACGTAATCAAATTTTTTTTTCATTTGCTTAATAATTTTAGTATCTTCACAAAATTAGATAAAATGGTAATTTGTCCATCAGTTCCTAGGAACAAGTTTGAAGTTATTTTCGCCATTACAAGACAAAAGGATTACGATCTAGAAGGGCAATGTTGTAACCTAACTCTGTAAGCAAGTGCTTAAGTCATTCTTTTTTGGCCATAAAAAAAAAGAAATGGAATGCAATGTCAAAATGTTACGATTAAATGCATTAAACCCTTGTGAACTTTATCCTTTGTTGCATTTTGCCCTCCTGAACTCATTAAATAAGCATTTCACCTTCTATTTAATAAGAAAAGTGCATTTATTTTTTTTATTTAATAAGCATTTCACCCCTATTTAATATTTTAAGACAAAACTGCCCTTATTATTTTATTATTTGTATTTTTTCTTCTTTTAATTGTTTCACTTCTCTTATGTCACTATTTTGATTCACTTTCGTATTAATATTATTAATTTGTATGTTTATTATATTTTTTATTTATAATTTCATTCTTGTTTATTTATTTACACTATCAGAAAATTCAAGACAAACTGTATAGCATCAAAAAAATTAATATATGCCTATCATAATCAAAAGGGATAATTTCAAAAACCCCCCTTGAGGTTTTCAACAATTTCACTGATTAACTCCCCTTAGGTTTCAATAATTTCATAGACCTTCTTTGGTCCAATCAAATGACTAAAATGCCTTCCACTTAATACTTAATTCATAAAGGGGCATTTAAAACTAAAAAATACTTATTATTCTATTTGTTATTTTCTAATCTTAAAGAACAATCTCCATCCATTTTCTAATTTTTATCTCTTCCTCTCTTCCTCACTCTTTCATACACTTCTCCCATTTTCCTCCTACAACTACTTCTATCTCTTACCAAATATTGCGCTACATTGTTACCAACCACACCACTATCAATTTTTTACCATTTCTAAAATTTATATGTATTTTTTTTTCTTCCTGTCTCTTTTTTACTATAAAAATTTTAGACCTTTTTTTTCAATATTTTTACTCTTTACAAATGTTAGCCAATTGAAGTTACCAAATTAGCAAGGTGCAGATTGTGGATTTTTATTGTCAAACTAAGGGAAGATGGAAAAGGTCGAGGTGATATAGGGAAAAAAAATGAAATTGAGCGTTGGAAGATAAAGAAATAGCTATTATGTTTGTTAGGCAAAAAAGTCTCACAATTAAAAAACTCATTGGTTGTCTCTTTTATTTCTACTTATTGATTGTGGTTTTACTATAAAGGTAAAATTTTGTCTTTTTTTCTAAGAGTGTTAGAACAATGATGAATTATGTTCTTAGGGACATGGGGGCATTTCTTGGTTTAACATTCGTAGTGGTGATAGCAAGTTGCATTAGACAAAAATTAGTAAGTAATGGATTTTGAGATGAATTAGAGTAGCTGGACTCTGTTCGCCTTACTACTGAGTATGACACGTGCAAGAAGTTAAATATTTGAAGCTTGTTTTGTTTTGTCTTGTTTTCTAGAAGAATGGCATTTTAGGATATTTGTTAAAAAGTATAGGCTATTGGGTCTATATTGTTACATAAACCTTAAAAGTAAGGGAGGTAGGTGTAATTTTTTAAGACTTTAGGGAAGCTCTCTGCAATTGTTGGAAAAATCTCAAGGGAGATTTCTCAAATTATCACTAATCAAAAAGTGTATATTACTGACAATTTGACTATTTAAAAAAATATTAGCAAACTAGAATTTTAAATTACTTAATACTTAAAAATATATCCCAAAAAATAAAGTAAGTAACATTTTTATTTATTGATGTATAGTTGATTAACCACTATATTATTACAATTTAAATTTGTTATTATTGTTATTAAAAATTAATTTCTTAAAAATGTTAGATTTATTGATTTAAGTAATATATGAAATAGTGTATGCGCATAGCTATCATATATTGTGTTGTAGCATAGACTTTATGATAATTATTACTTCCAATAACAAAAAGTAAAAAGATAGAAATAAATAAAAAAAAGTTTAAGACAATTAAAATTAATATATGGATAATACTAACAAAGTAAAAAGGTAGTCAATCACATGAGAGAAAGGAGACAAATTAAAAATATAAAGAAAAAAGCAAGTAGAAAAAGGGAAAAAAAGGAGAAAAAATAAAGCAATAATTAATATGGATGGGGCACTTTTGTCATAAAACATAAAGTTGGGGAGCAAAGTGCCTATTTATTGAGGTGAGAGGGGTAAGGTGCAACTAAGGGTAAAATTCCAAAAGCTTATACTATCTTTCAAGAGGCAAGGATGGCTTGAGTCGTGAGAATCCAGTATACGTGAGAGGTTTCGGATTCGAATCCTTCAACTTACACTATTAAAGTGTAAGTGAGAGGTATTGGGTTCGTGTCCTATAACTTACACTACTAAAAAAAAAAATCTGTTCATCAATATGTAATCTTATGCGGTGGTTATTGACAATAATCCCAGTAGAATATGATAGCCTAATTAAGACCAATAATTTTTTCAATCCCAACTAAGAAGTATGGCAAGAACAATTTTGTTCTTTACCTGTCAAATTACAGGTAATGCAGTTAAACTATATGCAGAAGAAGTATGGCTAAAACAATTTTGTTCTTTACCTATCAAATTACAGTAAATGCAGTTGTATAAAGATCAAATTTGAGTATTAGAGCAGTTCACAAAATAGTAATACAAGTAGTGTTGAAAATTCACCAAGCTTAGATGTATTATTATCTCTCTTTTTTTTGGTAAATTAGATCTAGTATTATCTAGTGACGGATTATGCGGAGAATTAGTCAATTAACATCCTAATTTGTATGCCCACAAATTAAAAAAATTTACAAATATTTCACCATTAAGAATAAGTCAATTAAATGCCTAACTTGTAAGCCCACAAATTAAAAACATTACAGATATTTCACCATTACAAGGAAAAAGGATTAAGATACAGATGGGCAATATTATTCATGCAAGTGCTTACGTCATTCTTTTAGATTAAAAAAGAAAAGGGAATGTTGAGGGCCTAAATATCATTGTAATTATTCCAAGAATTAGAGATTTTAAATTCAAATTTCTCTGTCTCCTTCGATTCTTAAGTCCCATACTTTGCTTGGAAATTTTTTTGTCAAATATCATTATGATTGCCAAATGATTACACTATCTATATTTAAATACAAGAATGAAAAGCATTTTCCCCGCAGCCTCCAAGTTGGACGCATTCAATCAATTTAAAACAAAGCGTACGTTCAATCAATTTATAATCATACTGTGACTATTGAGAATAATCCTAGTAGATGCATTAATACTTAGTAATATGATATCCCAATTGTATATAATAAATTTTCAATCCAGATTAAGTACTCTAACTAGAATAATGTTTTCTTTTCCTGTCAAGTTACATTTCATGTAATTAATTCATAAACAGCTGTATATATGAGATCAATTAATTTCAGTTTTGAAGCAGTTCAAGACAAAGTAATCCACCTTGTGTTGAACGTCTACTGCGTCAAGCTTAGATGTGGCAGACGGATTATTCGAAGAATGAGTCAATACTGCCCACAAATTTTTATGCTGATATTTATCCGTTGACTCTACGTACGGCTAACTGCTAATTCAAAGATTTTGATTCCCCTTGTCTGGTTCTTGTCTGAATTCTTCCATCAAATCTTTCAAGAAGATAACATACCACAAGTACAAAATTACTCCAAAGATTCAAGTATATGGAGGAAGAGGGAATTCAACATTTCAGTCATGATGAGCACCCTCTGATCATGATTGAATTGCAGAAAAACAATGATAATGGTGATGGAGATAATAAGAAAGTAGAAATCTGCTACGGCATATTGTTGCTTCAGCTGCAATTTCTTTCTCCACAAACCATGTGCGAAATTCCTTTGCAGATTACTCATCCGATGCATCCCAAGCATCCATTAGTCCTCGGTAGGGAGCCACCTTATTCTTCTGGTAGTTGTACATGTCATGCTTTTGGCCAAAAAGGTTGGAAGTTTTTCACCTACAATTGTTCCTTGTGCAAATTTGATCTCGATATATCGTGTGCTTCTCAAGATTGGTGAGGCAACATTGATTGAGTCTTCATTATTGATTCGGTTTTATGTTTTTGGTAATTTAATTTGTTGTGTTCTTACTTCTTACTAGTATTCACTATCATTTTTTTCACCTCCTTTTTTGCTGGGCCATTGGGGTAATATATAGTAAGCGGCCCTAGAAGATCTCTAAATTTCAATTTTGCCCCATTATTATTTCAAATTGCAATATTTAACCCCTCTTTAACTTTAAAATATGATGAATCTAACAGTCAATTATTCATCAATAAGTTTATCTGAACTGGTCTTTGTTACCGATGTTAGCCCCCAGGTCAAATTTACCTATACTGACTTCCCCCTATTTAAGGTTGATTACCTCTAACAGCTATAGAAATAAGTGCACTTTTTTTTGCGAGATTTTTTAATGAAAAAAAGTTAATAAAGATGTTAATTTCAAATTTCATTTTTTTGGCAGCACATTCTAGATTAGTTTTTTGGTACTAGTTTAGTTGACATAAATGGCAGAAAATCACCAAATGAAGGGCACTTGAATCACATTGGAAGTTAAAGGGGGTTAATAATGTGATGTAATCAAAAGAATAAGGGGGTTAAAGGGGGTTTATCTATTTATTCATTATGTTATATGTTCTTTTTTCTTTTTTTCTTTTAGTTGGTGGCCCTTTTCCCTAAAAAGATAAAAGTGGCATCATATCATTATTTTTAAATTTTCTTTTCTTGTAGGTTTGCTAGAGAAGGACAATCAGATTTGGGACATCCAGGCAGAAATTTGGTCAAACTGCCCTCCAATGATGCAGCTCAAAACTTGATCAAACTTTCTCTTCTTCGGTGCAGCATTACTAGTAGTCTCAGCATTACTAGTATCTACGCACAATCACCCACTTGTTCCATCCAAGATGATGCAAACCAAACATGAGATTAAGAGTGCTGCTGCTGCTGATCATGAAGAAGCAATACTATCAATTTCCTGATGAACTACAAACCCCAAAACATCCCGAGCATTCGCTTACACCAATGACAGTATTGGCTGTTGCTGGCTACTTTAGGTGTCATGCCTGTCTAAAGGAGGGAGATTGTCTCTACTATGAATGCAAATCCTGTAAATTCTACATCAGAGTGCGTGAGTGCGAGCTTGACATCAGCTGTTTTGCGCAATTCTCATAAGCATCTCTTAACTCTGGTTGAAAACACAAATCGGATAACGTGCAATGCCTGTGGCTTTGCAAGAGGTAGTTTTGGATTTGGTTGTGAAGATTGCCATTTTTATTTGGACTGCGAGTGTGCCCTGATGCCGCCTACAACCAAACAGAAATGGGACGAGCATATGCTCGTGTTAACTTATCCTCCTTTTGTTGAGCATCCAGATGAATTTTGCTGTGGGATCCGTGACCTCCAAATGAATCCCAATGAATGGATGTACCACTGTCACGAATACGACGAATCGTTTCATCCTTGGTGCATTCCCCAGATTCATCAAAATACCAAGTTTGGGCGTGCCTTGTATGTAGATGAGCACTCTCATCCTCTCACCCATATTCCTGAGGCATATGACGATGCAATCTGCTATGGCTGTGATAATAGTTTTGATGGTGGGGAAGAGGCTTTTCAGTGCACAGAGTGCAGCTATTGTCTTTGTGCAGATTGTGCTTGCAAAAGGGAAGTTCTAAATCCTTAAGTACTTACTTGAAACTACATAGAACACTGTCTAATTGAGGTTTATATGCAATATGACGCAAAGATTTTTTGGTCCAATACTGATTTATGTTTCTCTTTGGGGAAACTTGATTCATTTTGGGTGCTGGACTTGTTCATCTCGTGTAAATAAATGAGTTGAGATATACAGGCCTTGTTGATGAATCACTCAATTTTCATACAGCAATTGGAAACCATTAAACATTGAGCAGTTCAGCAACTTGATAATGGAACACGTGAATTCATGATCATCTTTATTCTATTCAAAGTTATCTTATCAAGCAGCGTCAGACAGAGAATGGAAACTCATCTGTTTATTACTATTATTCTATTAATTGAAGCATTTAAACAAATTAAGTAGATAAATACTTGAGCAAATCCTTGTGACCCAAAACAAGAATATTGCGTGGGAAAAGCCTAAAATGAATACATGTTGAGGACTAACAGAGTTTTCGATCAGCTGATATTCTTTGGGTTCCTCTGAGCAGTTCTGTTCAAGTCCTTGTTAGGTGACTTCTCAGTTCTTGCAAATATTCTCTTAAAACATATCCAGTTTTTAAAATAGCAAAAACAGGATGGCCATGGCATACAAGAACGTTGCCGTAACACTGGAAAACTTGATAGTTGCAGCAGTTCCTGTTGACTGCGCTAGCCTGAGGAAACTTGCAACAGGACAGATGGTAGCTAGAGTTGTATTAGATGTAGGAGTACTCTTGCAACTTCCATAAGATCCCCCTGCCTACAAGGTTTTGATCTTTTAGATCTTTGAGAGTTAAGAGTTTTAGAGCAAGTGCAATAGCAGATGCTATATTAGCAGCTAATTGAACAGGAAAATAGATAATCCCTTGTTGTAATTTTCCTCTATCAGCAATAAAAGATGCTGAAACAAATCAAAACCATGGTTTTAAACTCTGGCAAAGTCATTTTGAATCAGTACAAGTCAACTATCTGTTCTGTGAAGTGTTTATCATGAGACAATATAAATCTCCTAATATGTGTCACAGCCCAATAATAAATACAGTTGATATTGCAGTCTGATAATCAAACCAGAGTCCTAAATGAGTGTAGTTGTGTTTTCCCTGAAAATTTTACTTTTATCGTTGCAAAATCAAGACCTTCTGCAAAAAATATATTGACAAACCTGCCAGGCAGTTACAGTAGTGCATCCACATAATGTTTGGCCATTCATCCTGTCCACAGCATCAAATACACCTCCCCCATCACTACGTTGCAAATGCTCCAGTCCCAATTCTTAGTTCTCTATCAGGATCAAGATTTTCGTTGAAATAAAAATTGACGGCCAAAAAATTTGGTATGATGTTGCCTGCTACTTTGTAACAGGTGTTAACCATGTCAATCAGGGGAACCGAATTCTCTTTACAAGCCTGATCTTGGTCTGGAATTGTGGGGAAGTAATTTTGGAGAAAAAGGGATGAATTGTTCGAGTTGAGTGGCTTTGATTCCTTCCTGTTTGGGCATGAACCAGGCACCACTCCCAGATCTCCGGCTGAAACCATTACGAATTAGTAAATTGCTGATGCATAAATTGAAATACAAACCACATTTTACAGTGAACAACGGTCCTACAACTACAACACGTGATTCCACTGATAAGCAATTCCTTCAGTTTCTTCCTTGGAGAGATCAGAAGTGAAAATTAGCAGTAACAGTCGGCCAGTCCTTGACATTCTTGGGCATCTTAGAAAGAGGGAAACAATATTTGTCCAAGCCAGCACTGGCAAATAACTTTGTCAAGCCTTTGGGGACATGAACATAGTCCTCAATTATGATGGTAACAATCTCGGTTGGGTTTGCACTTTGCATTCAAGAATGCTTCCACTTCCTTTAATGTGTCAATTGCAGGCTCCTAAGAGAAATGCATATAATCTTATCACAAGATATACATGTTCAACAACCAAATTAAACCAGTCAAATCATGAACAGAGAGTATGATTGGTAGAGTTACAAAAGCGGTGAAGTTGTAACACTGGCCACGAAACGAGTGGCAAAGCCAGATGTCATCCTCGAAATCATACATATCCAACATCAATCCCCATACTCCATTCTAAAGAGCATTAAAAAAACAACAACAACAATAAATCAAATTCAAAATACACTAATAAAAATGTGGCTTTGCATCTTAGTGAAGAACGAGCAAGGAATAAGAAACACATACTCTCAATTGATTAGTAAATGCTATCCCCTTGATTGTAAAATGTGACTCTTTCAGCATCTGTTAAAGATGCTGCTAAAGAAGCTGAAACAGAGAGGCATTGGCTGGAGCAATTTTATATATTGTATCTCATTCATTGTAACCCAATATATATACACGTATGGCAGCACAAAGGTGGGAGAGTTACACCAGAGATAGGAACCTACACTAGACAGAGTTCTATATGTAATCAGCAGCTAGAGTTCTACCTTCTATCTAGTATTAGTTTGTGGAGGATGAGGATTCTTATCATGCCCCCGCAAGATGGACGGCGGTGAGGCAAGTCCTATCTTGAGCTTCATGGAATCAAATTGAGAGCGAACAAGGGGTTTGGTGAGAACATCGGCGAGTTGATCAGAGGCAGAGACGTGGGACACACGCAGCAGACCATTTTGAACTTGGTCTTGAATGAAATGATAGTCAATGGCCACATGTTTCATGCATGAGTGAAAGACCGGATTGGAGCACAGAGTCGTGGCACCAATATTATCACAATAAATGACTGGTTGGTACGGAAGAGTGACACCAAGTTCGCTAAGAAGAGAGCAAATCCAACGAAGTTCGGCAGCAGCGGAGGCCACTGATCGGTATTCTGCCTCAGTGGAGGAGCGAGCCACAGTCCGTTGCTTCTTGGAGCTCCAAGAAATAGGATTATGACCGAGATAAATAATGTAGGCACTTGTAGAGGTGAAGTCATCTTTGTCACCCGCCAATCAGCATCAGAGAAGCCATGTAATGCTAGAGGGGAGGCACAACGAAGGGTGATGCCATGGTCCAAGGTGCCACATAAATACCGAAGAAGGCGTTTAAGGGCAGTCCAATGATCAGTTGTCGGGCGGTGCAGAAATTGAGAGAGCTTGTTCACCGTATAAGCGATGTTAGGTCGAGTGAGTGAGAGATATTGAAGACTACCAACGGCCTTGCGATACTCAGCGGGATCAGTTAGAACGGTTCCAGAGTGTAGAGTGAGAGGCGGATGTGTTGCCAAAGGCGTAGAGGCAGGCTTTGCTTCAGTCATCTTGGTGCGATGAAGGAGATCAGTAATATATTTGCGTTGACTAAGGAAGAGACCACCTGAGTGAGAGAGAACTTCAACACCTAGGAAGTATGACAAGGGACCAAGGTCCTTGAGGGAGAACCGGTGAGACAGCTGCTCAATAAAGGTTTGCACAGCCCGAGAGTTGTCGCCGGTGATAATGATGTCGTCAACATAGACCAGGAGATAAAGGACAACGCCGTGACTGGAGACTGTCAAATTGGCATTGGTTGTGGTATTTTCGTTCTATTCCCTGAAATAAATGCAAATTATGAAAAATGAGTAGAATCTAACAATTAATCCACATCAGGTCAGGTAATAGGGAAAATTAATAATAAAATGAATGATAGAATTGCAACCTATCAATTCCCTCCCACATCTAAACCATGCTTGTCCTCAAGCATAAGAACAGTAAACAAACACCTATATTTGTCAGTGGTTATTGCTCTATCTACCATATTGCCAAGATACCAAGAGAAAACATATATCAAGTACTAGTTATCAAAATCCAAAAAACATCACCCCGGTTAGATTCTAAACCACAAACTCCTTCAATTCCAAGTTAACTAATCTAAGAAAAGGGAATGGTGCACAACATTTAACAGCAAATGGTCCAACTATTAACCAAAATCTCAACATTAAATTCATAAATCGGCAAGCTGACTTTTATTATACACTAACACAACCTTCACTTTTTTTTTCATGTTTTCTATTTTTTTCCTTTTTTTTTCAATAATAACACAGGACTTAGTATCTAGCCATTGAAACCTTTTGACACGAATTCTGACATTTGTCAGATGAAAGAGCCCGATTACTCAGTTTCTATCGCCACGTGATCACGTACTCATAGCAATTACTACTTTTTGACACGAGAATCGACACTTTTGGTGAAGATCCCCGGTTACTCGATAGTAAAGACTAGCGAAGTACAATCAACTCTTATTCTCAGTTAAATAATACAAAAACTCAATATAACACAAAAACTAAAAGAAAATTTGCATTAGCTAGCCTCATTTTCAAACATGGAGAACTAAAATTAATAACCGGACCAATTCACATGAAAATACCAACAATCATTCCCTATGCCTAGGAAAGTTAACCAAAAATTATAAGAGTAAAATAATCACCGATATTCACCAAAGAGATGTTCTCGGACTCAACCACATTAACTTGATACACTTTTATTATTAAAACTTGGCAACAGCAGAATTAGAGTCAACAATCCAACATCAAACTTTGGTATTCATTAAAAAAAAGAAAGTAAATGAAGACTAGACAAATAACAAACTAAAAATAAAAGAAGAACATCTGAAAACTAAAAACTAGAAAAATTAGCACAGCTGTCTCTCCCCCCATACCTAGATCCTATATTGTCCTCAATGGAGGAAATAAGCAATTAAAGCGAAGAGGACAACGAAACTTCCCTCTCGAATGGCTAATAGGTATTTGGCAGCTGCGGAGGGAAACCAACGTGGTGCAGGTACGAGACCAGGTTCTGAGACATCCTTGCCACTTGGCGGGTAATGTTCGTCATTCGCTCATCTATATTGTGAACCTGTGCTTGTAAGTGGCGCCACTCGCCATTTGCGCCAATTATCACCCCAAACACAAAAAAACAAAATATCCAACAAAGATAGCAACCAACAAATGCAAATCCATAGTCACTGGTGTTCCCCAATTCAATAGTCAAATGCAAAAGCAAACACGGGCCACCCAAGCCCGAATATGGTCAACAAAGCAACAGTTGCACTCCAAAACCAACAACCAGAAACTATTATCAACAACTAGAAACTAGCAAAGTCACGTCAATAAGCATAGGGACTACCCAATTCAGTCAGTCAACAAGTGAACTTGGG